TAGGGTGAGATGACTCGGGACTTTACTTTTGACTCGACCCATATAGTGAGTGATGATACCCTCTTTATGCATGCGTTTTCATACTTGTTTTTCTAGCATGATGACTGCATGAATTTTTTGAATTTTATTTTGTTACATGAACCTAGGGATATGTGTTATGCATTTTATTATTGTACAGTGACCTATGTTTGTACGTTATACTAGTCATGATATATGGTACATGCATATGCTTTGAGTTTATACATGTTGGTATGCGATACTACTTTAAGACTTATGGATTGTACATGTTTGTGTATTTGTTGATTGGATATGTGGGGAGTCGGTGATGCACTAAGACCGTTTTACTCCGGTCGTGAGATGGAGGATGCCTCTCGACCAGGAGCGTGGTATGGTGCCTTTGGTGGACGTGGTGCCCTTGGATGAGTGTGTGGCTCTGAGGAGCGTGGCATGTGATTGTGTTAGGTCTGATCGTGAGATGGATGATTTCTTCGATCGAAGCGGGAGTCTCAATGATCATCATAGTCCCATATATGTATGTGTTGATGCTGATATTGTTCATTGTGCGTATGTATGTATATATATGGTTTTGGACATGTGGCACGATGCATATTCCGGTATGCATAGATTATGTATTATCCTTACTCATTGAGTTTCGCGACTCACACCTTTTCATCATTCCAAATCAATCGTGACCGTTCGTAGATTAGTTAGCAGTGTTCAGAGCCGCACTTCTCAAGTCGATTGATGTATGGGCAAGTTCTTTGTTTATCTGTTCTTGTACTCTAGTGCTCCCTTTATACTCAGACAGGATCCTGGTTTTGTACTTGCACGTTTTGAGATGTGTATTCATATTTTGGTTAGTTTTGAATATGATTTAGTTGTGGTGAGGCTGACTAGGGTCGGAGACCCTGGTGCCAGTCATGGGCTCGGAATTTGGGCCATGACATGTGGCTTTTTCAAACACATATGACGGAAATGAAGATTTAAGTAAGAAATTACTGTTGTGCTACCGCTGCTGCCTCCTGCAAAATATTGTTCATGGCTCCATTTTACTTTCGCTTGTGGAACTATTTGTGAAGGATCATAAAGTTTGAGGGAGTGTTGTTTCAACTGGAGTTCTTTTATCGTGAAAGCAAAATTTTGATCATTGCAATTGTTTATGAGAATCGACCTTTTTATTTAATTACTTAAAAAAAATCATATGAAAATGTAAGAAAAATAAAAAAATGTATTTTTTATAATTCCTCTCTCTTTACAATGTTTCTCATTTGAATATTAAAAGAAAAATAAAATAAAAATCCGAAAGAATGTCCCCAAAAATATCAAAACTAGATTTTAAAAAAAATGAATTTCTAATTTTTTCATATTAAATTAAAATATAGTCAAAATTAGAAATCAAAAACTCAAAAATATAAATTTTGTGGAGATTACCGAACACGACCTTAGTAACAAAGGACTGGTGACCAATGGGATTAAAACTAAATAGTGTGTTTTAAGTGATTGACTTACCTTGTCGGATTGATCCAAGGGGGAAAAAAAGAAAAGAAAGGTCGTGGAAGGAGAGGGGAAAGGATGGCTTTTTTACTAGAATTAGGTCGGCGCGCTGGGGGAGGGAGGGGGGTGAGATGCCGGATTGATCCATTAAAAGGAAAAAAAAGAAAAGAAAGGTCATGGAAGGAGAAGGGAAAGGATGGCTTTTTTTTTTTGTGGTAAAGTAATAACAACCAATCGTATTACTAAGCCTCCAAATGATGACTTTTTTACTAAAATTAAGTGGGAGGGGGGGTGTGAGATGATTCATCCCTTTCTTTTTATTATAAATAGTCCTGTTATCTCTGCAACTTTTTTTTTATAAACATTCTTATCATTTTACTTTCTAAGACTAATTTTATTTAAAGTATTATAACTTTTTTTAAAAAGTGTACTTTCACGCATTTAAACTTAATTTTTTTTTATAAATATAAGAGTATTTTATTACTTATATTCATATATTGAATTATTTCTATAACATTAATACCACCCTTCTTTTAAAAAAAATAAAAAATTAGAAGAAATAATAGAAACTAATATTAAAAGAAATACAATTTAGTCTACTTTTGATAACTGATAATCCCAATAATACTAGGACACATCATCATTTTGTCACGTGGGTTATAGTTAGTGTACAACTACTAGAATTATAAATTATTTTGCTTACCGAATCATTCTTTTTGGCATATTTATTTGTGGAACTATTTGTGAAAGATTTTAAAGTTTGAAGGAGTGTTTGGTCAATTGGAGTTTTTTTTTTATCATGAAAGAAAAATTTGATGTCCGGGGTTTGTTTAAAAAAAATTGACTTTTTTATTTGGTTATCTAAAAAAATTCATATAAAAAACTAAGAAAAAGAAAAAGAAAAGTGTTTCTGATAAATTCACTTTTGGACAAGACCTTTTTTTTTTCCATCCTCTGTTTCTTTATCCTTCCTCTTCTCTCCGCTTTGACAAATATGCATTTAAATTAGGATATAAAATATCAAATTCAATAAAATAATGTCTGAAAATATCTAATCAACGAACTAACGTAAACTACTTCAACGTTGAAGAATACAGAAAGTGGGGGCACGCTTTAGCTGGTTACTTCTGTTTCTGGGAAATAACTGCTATTAACAAAATTCTTGTTCTGTAATTTGCTTGTAACATTGGGTTGCTAGCTTTGTACACCAAATTGTAAAAAATTGCTTTTAATTTTTTTGTATAAAAAAAATTTGGGCAAATTAGACAGATAGAAGAGGAAACGAATGCAACAACTAGTTGTGGCAGAAAACGATTTGATGAAAACCGTTGGTGAAACTATCTTTCACAGTATATAACCACTGGCTTAACTTGAGTCCTCTTGACTTTTTGTGCATTGTTCGAGAAGATTTGCATGTTTTTAATCTTTCTATATATTGGAAATAAAATTAAACCTCAAAGGAAAACTTTTGAACTTTTCAAAAAAGCATGTGATCCGTCCTGATTAGACTGACTTGCATATATAAACTTCGGCACAGGGTTGACAATTCCTTGCCCCAAAGACAAAAAATAAAGATTAAAAAGAAAAAAGGACACGAGTGGAGGAGCACATACACAGAGAAGGCTCTTCAAAGCATCCCTCGACAGCAGTGTCGCACAATTAGAAGAACTCGTCCAAGAAGATGAGCTCGTTCTGGACAGAGTTCTCAGCACCTGCTTGGATGAAACTTCCTTGCATGTAGCAAACTCCCTTGCATGTAGCAGCTTTGCGGGGTCACTTAGATTTTGTAAAAGCGCTTTTGCATGGGAAGCCCGAGTTTGCCACCGAACTTAAACTCACTGCATTCTTCGCCCCTCCACCTCGCTGCTGCTGGGGGCCACTGGGAGGTTGTCCGAAAGCTGTTACAGGTATTTAATTATTGAGCACCAAACTTGGTGGCAAATTTGGATAACAGTATTGGAAATTACAAACGAGAATTATAGGACATCTTTACACAACAAGGGATTGCCTCCCAGAAGGAAGTTGAAATGCCAGTTCTAATTAAGGGCACTTTGGGCGATACAGTGAGCAGCTCCATTAAGAACTCTTGAGAAATTAAATTAAAAGAACAAATAGTGGATCTGTTTTTAAGACCTATACAATCTACAATGAAAATTTCTTCATCCTTCAGTTTTAGCTTTGGATCTTCAGCTTCTACCACTTTTTTGGCATCAATTCCACCCACATCTCTTTTACCAACTGGGGAGATCACCCACACTTGCTTTGCCTTGGAACATCTGAAAGTCCGGTGTTCCATTCATCCCTCTACAAAGCCCAAGTTTGGAACGTTTAGGGTCGCCTAAAATTTTCCTTTTAGCCAAATCAGACTTTTTTGGCAGGCAGTTTTGAAGGCATCCCCATATGAAATGTTAGGCACCTTATAGCCTGCATTTCCTTCCACTCAACATATCCTTCTTTTCTACACTGGATTAACCCTCATGCTTACTCTTCTTATTTTGATGAACATTCCTCCACAGATACATGGTTAGCAGATTTCATTGTAAACAGACCATTATTTTTCAATAGATAGCAGCAATCTTTGTCTAAACTATTATTTCTGATACTAACAGAAAATGACGGAATAAGTTGACTTTCTACTAACATGACATAGCTCAAATTTATTAAAAGATGCAATGTAAGAATACAATAAGACCCCGTTAATTTAACATAATTGACTTAATTTTTCTAATAAGTGAATCGTCAATAATTTTCATAACTTCAACTAATGAACACTGATTTGACATGAATTAAAATACAAAAACATGAATTATCATAACCCAACTGTTCACATTTATTTTATTATAACATGCGACCCCTGAAGTAAGCTGCATTTGCGATCAAAATGGGAAGACTCCTCTCCACCTAGCAGCCATGAAAGGACGAATGGAGGTCATAAAAGAATTGGTTCGGGTTAGACCCGATTCAGTTTACAAGAGATTGGATAGCGGGGAAATGGTACTCCACTTCTGTGTTAAGTATAATGGATTAAGGGCTTTGAAGACTTTGGTTGGGTTACATATAAATGACACGGAGTTCGTCAACTCCAAAGACCGCCATGGCAACACCATCTTATATCTTTCTGTAGTCTTAAAAGAAATTGAGGTAATTATTATTAACTTACTACAATTATATTTTATGCATTTATTTTTCCAATTAATATTAGTTCCATCAAATGGCTGGCCCAAAAAAAAAAAGTCACTTTTGGACAAGACTTTTTTTTTCTCAGTTGACTTTCTATCCTCTGCTTCTTTATTCTTTTTCTTCTCTCTGCTTGGACATATACGCATTTAAATTGGGATATAAAATATCAAATTCAATAAAATAATGTCTGAAAATATTTAATCAACTAACGTAAACTACTTCAACGTTGAAGAATACAGGAATAATTCCAGAAATGTTTATGGAATAATTCCAGAGATGTTCAGCATGTCCACTGATTTGGGCTGACCTAAGCCAAAATCAACTATATGGGAAGGTACCAAGATCAATGGTAAATTGCACGAAACTCGAGATTTGAAATCTTGAAAATAATTATATAGTTGACAATTTCCCTACCTAGCTTGGAACTCTCCCAAAGTTGAAGGTTCTTGTTTTGCGAAATAACAAGTTCTATGGAGGTATTGAGAATCCTACCATCAGTACAAAATTCTCAAAGTTGCGAATCATTGACCTTTCTTCCAATAATTTCTCAGGTAACTTACCGTTGAATTATTTTCAAGAATGGGAAGCAATGAAAATAGTTCATAAGGATGATTTCGGATATAGGTTTGAGAACGTAGCTTTTAGTGCGCAAATTCTCAACTACACATTTAATTGGAATTTCTCTCACCCGTATTCGATAAATGTAGTCAACAAAGGAACAGAAAGGAATTATGAGAAGATCATAACAACATTTGTGTCCATCGACTAGTCCAGCAACAGATTCAAAGGGCAGATACCAGAATTCTTTGGGAATCTTAAGGGGCTTCGATCACTTAACCTATCCAACAATGAGCTCGATGGTCCTATCCCATCATCTTTGGGTAACTTAATGGAGCTAGAATCACTAGACCTGTCACAAAACTTTCTCTCAGGAAAAATTCCTCAACAACTTACCTGCAACACATTCCTATCTGTTTTCAATGTTTCTCATAACAATCTTACAGAGTTTATACCTCAGGGTGCCCAATTTGATACTTTTGAGAACATTTCTTGTGAGGGGAATCTAGGATTGTGTGGAAAACCCTTGTCAAAGCCATGTGGAAGTTTAGGGCCATCTTCACCTCCATCTTCATCGTTGCAAGTAGATAAAAACTCAGAATCCCCTGCTACAATCGATTGGGTTGTCATAATTTTGGGATATGGTGGTGGATTAATTATTGGATTGGTCCTTGAGCAGGATCTAACCACAAGGAATCACTACTGGTTTGTGAAGACTTTTGGAAGGAGGCAATAAAGAAGAAAAATGGAAGTACAAAGAGTAAAGAAGCTAAACTTTCATAGTTTCCATGGTAGCATAAACTTCCTGAGAAGTGATATCTGGAATAATAGTAAGCATAGAGTCTTGTCAGCAAGGTAGCTATGCATTGAGATGCTTGGATGTATTAAACTAGTTTCCTGATATATTTCATTTTCATTTCTTTGTCTCTATGGGTACATGTGTGTTTATGGATGCTAATTTCCTGTCCTCGTCTTGGGATGTTTTTATATCTATTATTCTAATATACTATGAGGCTTTCGTATACTTGTACTGCCTCCTATACAAATATTATTCATTACTCCATTCTGCTTTCCCTTCCAAAGCACAACACTGTTATATAACAGTTGTGCAGAACTAAATGATTCATACTAAATTTTCCAAAAAACAATAATGACAATAATAGTTATAAAAAAAGCCCAATAATTAGACAAATAAGCCTTCAATTATCAAAAATTTAAAATAGATGCCAACATTAAGTTTTACAAACCCCCCCCCCCCCAAAAAAAAAAACCCCATTATGAACGTTATAGCAAGGATTAAAAAACCAAAATGGACCGGACCGTTGGTTAGACTAGTCAGACCTTTGAATGATCCTTTCTTTTGGTTCAATTTTCACAAAAAATGATGAGTATGAAAAAATCCTCTATTTATTTATCGACGTATCAACTACTAATCAGACTGCTTGAACCGATGAATCATTCATGGTTTGTTTAAATCAACCGGTCTGATTTTTTAAAAATAATGTTTTCTGCTACTGATATTATCAAAATTTTCTCATATCTTAGTTCCAACAGGCTACAAGGACATAGCAATAGAAATGTTGGCTTCTGATGACCCTTCTACTTATCCAAAAATGGAATCATGGAAGCTCAAAAGTGAGCATAGTGACTGTTGCTCGTGGAATGGCATCGAGTGTGACAAGGATACAGGTCATGTGATTGGGCTCGATATTAGCAGCAGCTGTATTTATGGTTCCATTAGTACTAGCACTAACCTCTTTGGACTCATTCATCTCCAAAGACTCAACCTGCAGACAATAATTTCAATTACTCAGAAATTCCTTCTGCAATTGGGAATCTTTCTAGGCTCGCCTATCTTAACCTCTCCAAATCTAAATTTTATAGGGAATTCCCAACAAACATTTTCCTACTACCAAAGTTACAAGTTCTAAGTGCCAGCCAAAATCTATATCTGTCTGGTTATTTGGCAGAATTTCACTACGAAAGTCCCCTTAAAGTCTTAGACCTTAGCAATGGTCGTTTCTCTGGCACGCTACCTAACTCATTGGAAATTTAACCCAACTCAAATATTTGGAAATTTCAAGCAATAATATTTCTGGTCATATACCTCCGTCGTTCGCAAACATGTCGCAGTTAACTTATTTATCATTTCTTTTTATAGTAATTTTGTCGCAAGTCCAATACCACTAGCACTTCGTTAGCTAGCTAAACTTTCTTATTTGGATCTTGCTCATTGCAATTTATAGGGTGAGATTCCAATATTTCTTTCAAATCTGACTTTGCTTTCTGTTATAACCTGATTTTTTTAAAAATTTATTAAATTTTGGACTCAAGTGCACAGATTTAAAATCTGTGGGGTCGAATTGAAAATATAACAAGGACCAATTTGTGGGGAGCCAAAAATTGAGGGGCTAAATTGCAATTAGGTGGAAAATCTGCCATGAATAGTGGATCGGTTGAACAACCAGGCATACCGTGATGATGGGAGGTTGTTGGGGCGATTAAATCGAGCAAGGAAGCTCGTTTCTGTCCAAGGAAGCAAAGCCCTCTAGTTATTTGAGTTTTTAGAGGGAAAAACGAGAGGATTTTGGAGGTTTCTTTCCAACAGAGTGGATGGACGGCCAACGGGTTTGACTGGGTTTCTCAGGTCATTTTGGTTCGATTTGATCTGATTAAAAGGCTCCTTGAGGTTTGGCTGGATAGGTTTTGGAGTTTCTGAGCGCAGATTGGATCGGGTAAACTTCCAAAATCACGTTTTGAGCTGTTCAGGGTTTCTAGGTCTGTTGCAAACCCCGATGGGATTCCGAGTTGCTTCTTCCAGGTGACAGAGACGAACCCGGATGAGAATCCGGGTTTAGGCGGGTTGGGTCTGACTCGGCCCAAAGGGGTTTGGCTTGGGCTAGGCCAGTTTGGGCCCAGTCCTAGGTGGCTTGGGCCACGGGCCAGCCCACACAAAAAAAAGGAAAAAAGAAGATGTTTTGGGCTTAGGCTGGGCCCAAGCCGCCGGGCTGGCGGCTCGAGCCGAGTCGCGAGCTGCAGTCCGAGATAAACCGCGAGCCGACTTGTCTTAAAAAAAAAGGGTTTGACCGGCCGGTTCATTGGCCAATTTGACTTGAAATTTGGAATTTGGACCGGTTCTGGATTCAGGGGAATGAGGGCTATCAGACCAAGTGGATTCGGGGAGTTTTGAATGGCCGGTTCGAGGTGAACTGGCCGGTTTAGTGTGTTATCCTTTGGGTGACCGGTTCACCAATGTTTAGAACAGTTCTTGGTGAGTTTGGACCGGTTCTTGGTTCAGCATAATGAAACCTACATAATTGTGTAGTTTGGTGATTTTTAGATGTCCGGTTCAAGGTGAACCGGGCTCAGTTCAGTATACCGGTGCTTAGGAGTAGAATTTTTGGCCTAGTTCAAGGCTTTTTTGGCCTGTTCAGACTGGTTTCTATAATTTTTGGGCCTTTTGATTTCGATTTTGAGGGTTTTGTGGCTGTTTGAGTTGAGTTGGAGGTAGTTTTAGACTGATTTAGGTTGGTTCGAGGGTTTTAGAGATCAGTTCACTGTGGTTTAAGAATTTTGGAGACTGGTTCTTTATTGTTGAGGGTTGTTGAGTAAAATTTTTGAGTGTTTGTGAGTCGCGTGGGTCTCGGTGACAGGTAGTCATGCTTTGGGATGCGTGCCATGGTGTCGGGATGGGAGTTGAGTTGGTTTTGGGCTGTCGAGCTAGTTTCTTGTGCTAGTTTTGGTGGTGGTGATGGTTTTGTGTGATTTTAGTTACAGATACGCTTGAAAAGCTGTATTTAGACCAATAAGTCGGGTGAGGGTGGTCTAGACTTTCTTGATTGACTTGACTTTTGTACTGTGAGTGATGATACCTTCTCCATACTTGTGTTTTCATATTGTGATTTTCTGACATGATGATTATATGATTTGGAAACTATATTTTGATTATATGATATACTCAGGATATGTGTTATGTGTTTTGTGAACTGTCCATGATTTATGTGGGTATGTGATACTGGTTTTAAGATGCAAACTATATATGTGTATGTATATCTGTTTTGACTTGTATGTGGGGATGGCATGTGTGTTGTGAAGTGATTTGGGGATGGCAAGAACTCGGCTGGAGTGTGGTGATCCGTAGCATCTAGTGGTGAGTAAGCCTAGGTCCAATGATGTGATTTGATGTTTGGTTGACGATATCCTTAAGCATATGTTTGATATATTTTATTGATCGCTATATATGTATGGTTTGTATTTGTGGCATGATGCATATCTCAACATGTATAGATTAGGTATCATCTGTACTTACTGAGTTTCGTGACTCATAATTTTAAACTTTCCAGATTTGGGTTGCTGACCTCCTCTCGAGTAGCGTGCCAGTTTTCGGAGCGACTGTCGAAAAATTTGATCAATGTATGGACACTTCTCTTTTGTGTTTGATCCTTATTATATTCTAGAGTAACTTCCTTATCCTCTCAAACAGAATCCCGGATGGTTTTTAGATGTTGTATTACTGCATTTAGTGTATATTTTGTATTTTCAGAGTTGACTGTTTTGTTGAGACTTACTAGAGTTGATGAACATTAGTACCAGTAACGGGCCTGGGTTCGGGGCGTGACACTTTCTCATTTGGACTCCCATAGCAACCAGTTAGTTATTAAAATCCACCTAGGCTTTTGAATCTCACCAAATTAAGTTTTCTAGATATTTTGAACAATTAACTGCATGGTCCAATTCCTAACTCATTCTATATACTGAGGCGTCTTGAATCCCTCGATTTTAGTGCAAATAACTTCGGTGGTATAGTAAAGCTGAGTGTTTTTCTTTAGCTTCAAAATTTGACTTGGTTTGGTTTATCATATAACACACTAACTGTGCTCTCTGAGAATGTTGCTAATAATGTTACTTTGCCGAAGATTAGTTTTCTTTTTTTACAAGGGTGCAATTTGAAGAAATTCCCTTGAGTTTTTGGAGTTCCAAGATCAGTTGGCAATTCCAGGGCTTTCTGACGACCAAATTCAGGGCCTGATACCAACTTGGGTTTGGAATTCAAGCAAAGAAACTATGACAATATTTTGGGTTGGTGACAACCTTCTTACAGGATTTGAAAAACATCCCACTGTCATTCCATGGCAAAATCTAGCTGTTCTGGATCTCAGTTCCCCTTCCTCCAAAATCCACCCATTTCTACTGTCACAGGAAATATATTGACTGGGAGATTACACCATCCATTTGCAGTAATAATTTTCTTCAGTTTCTCGATTTGTCTAATAATAGGTTCAGTGGCAGAATTCCCCCATGTTTGGCAACTATTGCTAGTTCCTTGCCGTTATTGAATCTAAGTGCTAATAGTTTCCACGAGGTAATTCCTGAGATGTTCAGCAACTGTACTGATCTGGAGATGATTGATATAAGCCAAAATCAACTATATGGGAAGGTACCAAGATCAATGGTAAATTGCACAAAACTTGAGGTTCTAAATCTTGGAAATAATTATATAGTTGACAATTTCCCCGTCTGGCTTGGAACTCTCCTTGAGTTAAAGGTACTTATTTTGCGAAATAACAAGTTCTACGGAGGCATTGAGAATCTTCCCATTAATGCAGAGTTCTCAAAATTGCGAATCATTGACCTTTCTAGCAAGAATTTTTCAGGTTACTTGCCAGTGGATTACTTTCGAAAATGGGAGGCAATGAAGGTAGTCCACAAGGATGAGTTAGAATATATGAATGTGGATGCAATAATTAATAATTCTCAGATAGCATTTCTCAAAATCAAATATCATTGGCCTTATATTTGGACTGAATCTCACACAGAATGGATAACAATTGTAAACAAAGGCACGCCAAGGAATTTTGAGAGGATCAAAACAACATTGTTATCCATTGACTTGTCCAACAATGGATTCAAAGGGCGGATACCAAAATTCCTCAAAAATTTCAAGGGGCTTCAATCACTTAACTTATCTAACAATGAACTTGATGGTCCCATCCCATCATCTTTGGGTAACTTAGTGGAGCTAGAATCACTACACCTATCACTTGAATCTAAGTCGATTTACTTATTAATTTCAGTCCAACTCATGACAAGAAATTCTAAAGGTGTGCAAGCGAGCTATGCAACTGATGTTATTCCCACGGAGTCTTCGATTAAATCACAGACAAAAGAAAAAAATGCTGTAGAGATTTCCAAAGTGACGAGGAATTAGTCTCTCAAACACAGTGTTGTTGAGATATCATGATATTTGAGACTTTTAATGCAACCAAAAAGCTTAGAATAAATGTAACTCCAAAATTATTTCAGCTCAAATTCTAGTAACTCAAAAATTCTAGTTCAAGTTGGGAAGGAGAATTCTTACCTCCCAATTATATAGAAGCAGTTCAGTGACCCCAACCAGTTAAATTGTCGCACTAGACTCCAATTCGCTGGCCACGGTCATGGTAATCAAACCGAGAAATCAAGAGGAGATGGAATTAAAAGATAAAACATTTCCAAGATATATTTGGTTTTAAATCCTCCACTTCATCGAGTTTTTAATTTAAATACTTCATTCGTAAAATTAATGTCGCGAAAATCCCTTCCACCGAAAGTAACAACCGATCGGACAACAAGAGGAAGCTTCCTGGTATGACTTCTCATCTTCGCTTCATTGATTTTTATATTTCCCATAACAATCGAATTGGACATATACCACAGTCCCCCCAGTTTGATAATTTCGATAACAGTTTATATGGAGGGAATCCAAGATTGTGTGTAAAACCCTTGTCTGAGCCATGTGGAAGTTTAGAGCCATCTCCACCTCCACCTTCATGCTTACAACAAGACACATACTTAAAATTCTTTGTTGGAATTTTAAGTGGAGTAATTCTTGGATTGATCTTTGTGGTAATTCTGAATATAAAGAATCACAGTTGATTTGTGAAGACTTTTGGAGGCAATTGAAAGTATGAAGAGCAAAAAAGCTGAACTTTCATGATTTCCAAGATAGAATAAGCTTTCCTACTGGTGGTATTTACTCTAAGTTCTCTGTTTAAAGTGTATATGAAGCAACTTGGTTGTTTCATAAAGTGTCTATGAAGCAAGGTGGCGTTTGAGAAGCTTGGATCATCATGTTTGTCTATGTGTGCTTTCTCTTTCTCTGGTTGGAAGGTATTTGTAATTTATTGAATTAAAATATTATGTGGTTTTCATGTAATATATATATATATATATATGGAATTGTATGTAAATTCATAATTAAATTCCTGGCCTTTTCTTGCTGGGATAGTTTAGAAAATTTTCATTTGTTTGAAGTTTTTTTTTTTTTTGTATTTCTTTCTGGCATAATAGAAAAAAATTTTAAAATTTGCTATTCTTAATTTGTTTTAAAAAATTCATTTTTTTGTTAATCAAAAAAATTATATGAAAATACAAGAAATTATTTTTTTTCAATTTATCTCTTCCCATTTAATTGCTTAAAGAAAAAAGAAAAACCCTGAAAAGTTTAGAAAACTAGTAAAATTATAATTTCAAAAAACTGGTTTTTGTTAATTATTTTTTCTTATTTTTCAGATTTTTCTTAATGAGGCAAACAAAAAAGAAATTAGACATTTAAAATATTTGAAAATAAAATTATTGCTTGTGTTGTTGTTTAGATATAGTAAACAAAAAAAGTTTTGTGACGTGTCTTTCGAGTTATGAGCTCTGTGAAATAGGGGAGGACTGGCGGGGAAATTAGAATATGAGATGGGGTGAGCTTGTGGCCTAATTTTCTCTAGACGGGTTTGGTGCGCAAATTTTTAAAGCAAAAGAAGCCTTGCAAGCGTTGAAGGAGACTAAAAAGGCCTAATTTTCTCTAGACGGGTTTGGTGCGCAAATTTTTAAAGCAAAAGAAGCCTTGCAAGCGTTGAAGGAGACTAAAAAGGCGCCCACGCTTAATTCAATTTGGTTTTTGTATTCCTACTTTGGAAGGACATTAATTTGGTGGCTGTTACGATATTTGAGACTTGTTCTCTTTGTCAAGAGGCGAGTCAATTCTAACTAATTTTATCCGAAGAAAAAGGAAAGTTAGCAAAGACTTAAATTCAACACACACTCAATTTTCCATCGATGTCGGAGCATGTAATAACCTAAATTCAAATTAATATAAGAATTTAATTGAATTAATTTAATTAGAGGCCTAATTGTGAAAATTAGAAATTTGGGAGTTGATTTAGGAAATCTGAAAAGTTTGGGGCTCAATTAAAACAACGAGGGACTAAATTGAAGGAAATCAAAGTTGGTGGACCGGATGTAAAGAAAATAGAAAGTTTCAGCCCGACAAGAGGCTGAAACTTTTGATGCCAAATTCTCTATAATGTTTGAAGGTTTTTGTCAATCTTTCATACCATTACATGTGTCTTTAAGAGGAGAGCAGTAGCCCTCTCTCAATTTTGATGATTGAGTGAGTTTAGAGAGAGAAATTGAGAGTTTTTTATTGTTGGTTTCGTCCGTGATCCACGATGAAATTCTAGAGAAATTTTGAGCTTTGATTGGTTTTTAATTCGATTAAAGGCTTCCTTAAAGATCGATTGGCTGAGTTTTGTAATTTCGAAGGGAAAATCGATCTAGATCAATGTCTTTTTCTTGAATATTTTTTCATTTTCTTTGGTTTTCTTCTGTGTTGGGTCGTTACAGACTCAGTTTCTACAACTGGGTCTGATGACCCAGTCAGTCCGGGTGGGAACAAAGGGACCTAAATGATTTAGGTCCCCGCGTCAGGTAGTTCAAGCCATTGGCCCTGAACTCAGCCAATTGGGCCAGGGGGCTTGCGAGCCTGGATTGCGGGCTGGCCTAAAGAAAAAAAAAAAGGGGGGGGGGGGGGGAAGAGAGGGTTTGGGCTTGGGCTGGGCCCAAGCCAATAGGTGAAGCCAGTTGGGGTGAGCCTAACCAGTGGGCCGAGCTGGTGGGCTGGCGGCCTGAGCCAGCAAGCCGAGTTGCTGAGCTAGCAAGCTGAGCCACCGAGCCGAGCCAAGCCATTTTAAAGTAAAAAAAAAAAAAAAAGGTTGATTGAATCGGATAGTGGGTTTGATCAGCCGGTTTAGTGGTCAAACAAACTCAAAATTGGAAAGTTAAACTGGTTTTGAAATCAGGAAGAAAAGGATCCATTGGACCGAGTTGGTCCAAGAGTTCGAGGAGGTCTGGTTTGATTGAAAATTTAGTATTTTTGATTGAACTGACCCGATTCAAGCCGGTTTAAGGGTTAAGTGGCCAATTCAGCCCTGTTTTGGACAGTTCTTGATCGGTTCAGAACGGTTCTAAAGGTTTTTGAGCCTTCTAATATGATTTTAAGAGTTTCGTGGCCAAATCAATTCAGTTTGAGAAAATTTTAGGCCAGTTTTAGGTTAGTTCAAAGGTTTTAGAGGTCGGTTCATTATGGTTCGAGGGTTTTAAAGGCTAGTTTACCATTGTCAAGGATTGTTGGGTAAAATTCTTGAGTATTAGTGAGTCATATGGGTTCTAGCGATGGGTCATGGTGCTTGGGATGCGTACTAGAGTTTTGGGATGGGATTTGAGCTTAGTTTGGGCTATTGAACTTTTTCTTATGCCAATTTTGGTATTAATGATATTTTTGTGTGGTTTTGATTACAGATACGGCTGAGAAGGTGCACCAAGACCAGTGAGTTAGGTGAGGGTGACTCAAGACTTTCTTTTTGGTTTGGTTTCAGTACTATGAGCGATAATACCCTTTATATGCATGCATTTTTCTACTGTGATTTTGACATGACTAATTTATGTTTTATAAATTGTATTTTGGTGTATATATATACGGAATATGTATTTTGGTATATAATTAGTGAGTTAAGTTGGCATGCAATATTGGTTTTGAGATTGTGAATTGTATATGTATGTATTTGTTTGGATTATATGTGGGAAGTTTGTGATAAATGCCTTGGTGGGCAACTCTAGTGGGTGTGTGATATGTTACTATGGTGGGCGTGATATGTTGCTCTGGTGGGCGTGATGTATACTCGATTGGGCGATGGCCATCTGATGCGTTTGTGATTGTAGTTATAGTTATGGTGCCTCCGATCGTTGAGATGGTGGATCCCTCCGATCGTGAGAGCCACGAGGCTGAAGTCTCATGATGTGATAGTTACACTTTCACATATGTATGTTTTGATATTGAAATTATTCATTGTATTTATGTATATGTGTTATAAATGGTTTTGGACTTGTAGCATGATACATATCCCAACATGCATAGATTAGGTATCATCTGTACTTACTAAGTTTTGCGACTCACCCTTTTATTATCATTCTAGATTGGGGGTGGCTGTTCGTATTCTAGTTAGTGGATATTTGATTTGAGTTCCGAGATTCGATTGATGTATGGGCACATTTCATTATGTTATCATTTTGTACTCTAAATTACTCCTTTGTTTTTCTCAAATAGAATGATGGTTTGTATTTGAGGATGTGAGTTTGCTTGATATGCCTGGTATTGTTTATAAAATATGCTAGTTTAATCATGTGAGATGATTTTGAAACTGAGTAGGGTCGTAGGCTCTATTGCTAGTCACGAGCCCAGATTTGGGTCGTGACAGGGCACCTCAAACTTTTTTTGTCAAACTTTTGAGACTTATTGTTACTAACGTTTTGTTATTTAACGTTACTTTATAAAGTAAGTTGGGCTGTCTGCCCATCATTTAAATTAGGAAATTTGGGTCCTTTATTCTTGTAAATGTATTGTAAGCGCAAAAATAAGTAGAATCTCTGTGACTCATAATAATTAATTAATAAAATCAACCCCTAACCAGTAGTATAGGATCTAAACTCTTCTAGGGTACATGAATCACAAATGTTAAAAAAGAAAAACATAACTTCGTCAACGTACCAAAGAAACTCTCCATTTAAAAATCCAAGTAAACTCTCTATTTTCATTCCGCTTGAATTCTAGACTTTATTTCTTTTTTAATAATTTTTTAAGAAATTTGAATACTTATTAGTGCATAATTTTCAACATCTTTCACTTTGTCTTAAAGTTATTGAGTCTATCCCGGTCTTTATTTATTAATTACAATATGTGTAAGTAATCAAAATCAAGTATGTTCAATGTAAACGATAAAAAGTAAAAAGAAGACCAAAATCATCCGTGAAGATCATGCTAAGTCTTCCACATACGCGTTTTCCCTCCGGACAAGTTAGAATTTTTTACAATCCCGCATTGGCTGAGAATCTTTAACAATTCATTTGTGTCTCCGTCAAATTGACCCAGCACAAGTCATTGTAGTAAAAAAAATAATAACAACCACCAACGACTTGAATATTCTAGTCTTCCATCTAGTTTCTCCCAATTGTTCCCGGTCATCCACGAATTTTTGTTGAAAGTTTATGCTCTATAAGCTTTTTTTGATTGTTCCTTGATTTGATTTATGAAGATATTTCATAAAATATATTTTATTAAATATATATAAAAAGATAATATTTTTTTACTCATGGTATGTGACCTTTGGTTGGTCTTTTAAGCCATGTTGATCAGGGAGATTTAATTTTAATTTGGAATTTTATTTAGATTATATTTTTATTTTATTTGTTTTTTTAGATTAGTTTTAAATTTATTTATGTTATAAAATTTAAATAAACTTTAAAAAGTAAACTTTGAAAAACAAAACATTGCGCTTGCTTTTGTGTTTTGGGTGGGGCTGTGAAAGCCTTTTGGTCAATTTCATATTAGAAGTGCTGAAAAAGGTTGGATGGGAGGAGCCCATCCCATCCAGTTGTCCGCGTTTATATTCAATTTGTCCACTTGCATAAATTACGCATAAAACCCGTTTTGTAATAAAGTATAAAAAAGGAATTTCGGTTCAATTTGAACGTCTCCCCTGTGATTGTGTGGACCTAATTAAAAAATGAACGTGGGTGGGTGGCTGAGTCTTTCAAGGATGGCTAGATTTTAGATAAAATTAGTTAAATTTAAATTTAATTATTTATTTTTATATTTAAATTTAATTTAAAATTTTATAAAATATATATTTATTAAATATAATTTAAATTTAATAGATAATTTGAAATTTGATAAAAAAAAATTCTATTTAATAAAAAAAATATATTTTTTATTTTTAAATCTCTTAATTTTATTCTATCAACTATATTGATCCTTTAATTTTTTATTTTCTTAATTTAGTTATTACAAAATTAAATTTATTAATATTATAGATATGAGATTATTTATTTAATAAAAAATATTATTAAAAGTTGGGTTAGGATTTTAAACAAATCGGATTACTTAGTTACATATATAATTTATTTATTTTAAATTACGAATATTTGTAATCGAATTTAATCTATCCAATATTTTAATTAAATTTAAATTTTAAAATTTAAATAAAATTTAAATTAAATTCAAATAAGATTCAACATATTAACAACTGTTACGTCGTATGTGAATGTAATTGGTTAGTTCACAAAAATTAACATGCTCACAGTCCATTTAATTTAAGAAAATTATAACAAAAAATAATAAATTATTTTTTAAGATTATCACCCATCAATTCAATTTTTTCCATGTTAATTGGTATATTATTGGTTTGCCTGCATACGTTGAGCCGACTCACTAAAATATTATTCATTTTTGAATGGATGTGGTCCCCACAAGCCTTTAATTATTATGCGTTGTAAGACTATAAATATCGCTAGTTTTCGGTTCGGAAAACTCAAAACGAGGAGTTGACAGTTGAGAGAGAGAGAGAGAGAGAGAGAGGGAGATGGGTGGAATTGACGACAACACTTGGCCCATGCCAGGTGACATGGCTGGGAAGGTCATAACTTGCAAAGGTAAGAGATTCAGTTTTCCACCGATGTTTCCGAAATCAGGAGATTGATGTAATATTAGTAATTACATTAGCAAGCAGTCTGTTAATCGTTATTTAAAATTGTGGTTATAAATATGCATGCCCATAATAATACAGCGGCCGTAGCGTGGGGTCCCGGACTGCCTTTGGAAATAGAAGAAGTTCGCGTTGACCCCCCTCAGAAAATGGAGGTCCGAATCAAGATCCTTTTCACTTCAATATGCCATACTGATCTCAGTGCTTGGCAAGGCGAGGTATGTATGCCAACTTACTCAAGCCCAAACCTCAAGTTCATTCTTTTGCTGATCTAACCATGGGTATTTACTTCTTTCTTTGTCAAATTAAAGAATGAAGATCAACGAGTATATCCTCGTATTTTTGGCCATGAAGCCTCTGGGTAATGCATCCAGCTCCCTCTTTGTGGTGTTATTATTTATTCATTATCCGTCTATTAAGTTTTTTTAACTTGGGGTGAGTTGTCCGTTTGTAGAATTGTTGAGAGTGTGGGAGAAGGAGTAAGAGACATGAAGAAAGGGGACCATGTGGTTCCAATATTTAACGGAGAGTGTGGAGACTGTGTCTACTGCAAGTGTGAGAAAACCAATCTGTGCGAGATATTCAGGGTGAATCCATTTAAGAGCGTGATGGTGAATGATGGAAGGAGTAGGTTCTCAACCAAGCTTGGTGAACCCATCTACCATTTCCTCAACACTTCGACTTTCAGCGAATACACTGTCCTGGACTCAGCTTGTGTTGTCAAGATTGAACCCCAAGTTTCTCTCAAGAAGATGACCTTGCTCAGTTGTGGAGTTTCAACTGGTAAGAAAAAGAGTCGATCTCGTTTTTCGTATGTTTCTTTGGGCACCTAATTAACGACTCATACATTGTTGTCCTGATGAACCGAATTAACCATGTTTCAAGGAGTGGGGGCGGTATGGAATAGCGCTAACGTGAAAGCTGGGTCAACCGTCGCTATTTTTGGTTTGGGTGCCGTGGGACTCGCTGTAAGCTACATATATAATGCTTTGCACTTTGCACCATTGATTTGAATCTGTTTCTTCTTCCAAGGATCGTTTATCTATTCCAACCCTGTATTAGAATCCGAAACAGAAAATAACTTAATTATTGAAGGCATGTTTAGTAACATATCTTGTTTTCTGTTTTTTGCTTGCAACTTCCATAGAAAAGAAAATAAATTCTTGTTTTTATGAAAATGAAAATATCTTGTTTTTATTAATTTTGGAAGAAACAAAAAATTATGTTTCTACTTTTTAAAAAAATTGTTGCTAGCTTTTGAAAATAAAAAACGCTCTGTAACATGTTTTCGTTTTTAATTTTCATAATTTATAAAAAACAAAAAATAATAAAAAAGAGATACCAAAAACGTTAACAGACGGCCCTTATCATGTTAATTTTTCTTTTCACCAAATTTGACCGCGTGAAAGCTCACGTCAGATGGAAAGCAAAATGATCACGTAGCTAAACCTAATTGTAGATGGCCTTGCCTGAAGGGCAAGTAACTTTCGCCATATAAATGATGGCGTCTAGGCAAGACATGTGCACGGCCCATGAAAAGTTTGTTGGATATTTGCACCCATCATAATCATCCGTGCATCATGCACATCAACATAATAACAACAGGACACACCAACATAAGTTCGTTGACTCTTCACCTCGTTATAATCTAGAAAATAATTACAAATTATAGTGCAGAACTGCCTTCTATTTACTCAAACTCGTAACTTGCTTTCATCATGTAAGGATTTTGATAATCTTTAAATTGCTATTTCTGATGATCTAGTTTTTGAACAAGTACAACATCAAGAAACAAATTAAGATGTATTTTCTCTTAATATCTTTTAATGAAATAAAAGAACTAAGAACAAATCAAATAACTTAGAAATTCGGCATGACGGTTGACAGGAGATTAGAGATCTACCTTGTTTCTTTGCATATTAAATCGTGGATAGATGGAGTGAACGATACTTTCCTTTGTGAAGTTTGAGAAATTAGACCGCCCAGAATAAATTCACTCATTTATATACCTGCTCATTTTTAATTTCACGATTAGTCATATAAAACAGACTAAACGCATTTATCCATGGCTGGGGCAGGTTGCTGAAGGAGCAAGAGCCAGAGCAGCATCTAAAATCATAGGAGTCGATATCAACTCCGAGAAATTTACCAAAGGTAAATCTAATGCAAGAAAACTTGGCGATTTGTTAGTATAGAAAACAGGAAGAATGCAATTCATTCATTGTGTTTGTCATCTGCGGACTACGAAATAGGAATTTGAAAACTTTTTAATTTTCCTCGACGTTTTTAGCAAGGCTTGCTTGTCTTCGGTACACACACACACACACACAGCGGAATGGGAATTGATAAATCTTACCAAAGTAAGTCACCACAAAAAGATGCATCTCATCCATCTCTTTCGTCCATTTTGTTAAAATTTGTTAAAATAATAATAGGAACATGGTCAACTAAATTAATTTGACATGTACAATAAAGTCTCCATCATATCTCTAATCCCACATCTGAATGGTATCAACCCTAAGCCAAAGCTTGAAAAAAAGAAAAAAAGGGGTTATGATGAGGAAATATTGTAAACAAAATTTGAGTTGATTTTGAAGTTAATTGTCAACTCTAACACTAGATCTTTCGTTGGACATAGGAAAAGCAATGGGAATGACGGATTTCTTTAACCCCCGGGATGTAGACAAGCCGGTGCATGAGGTTAGTGCAGTAAATTATTAAAGAAAAATAATGCACCAGTTTCTATCTAAAGCACTCAGATCTCCAGATTCTTGTCAGCAATTTTCCAATTCAACCTTTGCATCATTCTTTTAGACAGAAGTATAAGCAAATGATGTAACAGTCAGGAAACTTACAAATTAAGTTGGGACGTGGTGGATGCAGAAAATTTCAGAAATAACGGGCGGCGGGGTTGACTACAGCTTCGAGTGTGCGGGAACCTGGATGTTCTCCGGGAGGCTTTCCTGTCCACACATGACGTATGGCCTGCCATCACATTTACATTTTCACTCTCCAACGCTCGTTCTTTAAATATTATTATTTAAGCAGGCTGACATTAATTTCTAAATTCTATATGCAATTATATTATTGCATTGGAGTATTGGATGGGGCGAAGCTGCCTTCATGGTCTCCCATGTGGCTGCTGTACAAAAGTCAAATAGCCAAAAGTAATTATTGTTGTTATTATCATTCTTCAGAAGAATTAGAGTAAAGAATCGTTTTCTTTTTATTTAATCCCGATAAAAGGGGGAAAATAAGAAAAAATTATCAAGTGGAATAATTTGGTAAATTAATGACACGGAGAATTAAAATGTAAAATAATTTCATTCAGTTTCAAAAAGAAAAAAAAACTATTTAATTAAAGTTATTTAGAATTATCTATGTTATTATATGCTCATAGTAATTGGTACAAACATATATTATATATTTACAAGTATAAATTTATATAATGATAAACATATAACTGTGTAGTTACAAGTCCTATGATAACTATTACAAATATATATTTGTATATTTAAAAGTATGTATTTGTATACTTACTAGTACACATCTATGTAGTTACAAGTATGTATCCGTATATTTATAAGTAATTATAAATACATATAATTATGCATGTATGTGCTTGTAAATATACAAATGCATGTTTGTAAATATACAAATACATAGATGTAATAGTCATCATAGAATTTTTAATTATATAATTAAATACTTATAATTTTACAAATTTATACTTGTAAATATATAGATGCATGTTAGTATTGGTTACTACAAGTAAATTATAATAAAAGTATTTTAGAAATATAAATGTCCTAAACTGAGTATTTTTTTTTTCTTTTTAAACTTAAAAAAATATTTCATATTTTAACATTTTAAATAATTAGAATTATCAAGCCATCTCGATCAATAATTTTCCCGCGTAAATAACTGTCATAGATGTTCACCATCTCTGGCTACTTTTCATGTAAACATGTATATTAAAATTGAAGGACGCCCGAGATGATGTCAAATGGTATTAAAACTTGCTGTTTCTAAATGTTCGGGGTTGCAGGGATGGGGGTTAACTGTGACACTAGGAATTCATCCAACACCCAGGATGCTTCCTTTCCATCCAATGGAGTTGTTCCACGGTAGGAGAATCATTGGATCAGTTTTCGGAGATGTTAAAGGGAAGACCCAACTCCCCCATTTCGCCAAAGAATGCATGCGTGGGGTAAGTTTCTCTATTTTAATTATCATCCACACGTAAAAACGCATCTATCTTTTGTGTTACCTGTGTCACTTGAATAAGTTTGACTATCTTATTACGCAGGTTCTTAATTTGGACGAGTTTATAACTCACGAGCTTCCCTTTAGCAAGATCAATGAAGCTTTTCAGCTGTTGCTCAAGGGAAAATCATTGAGGTGCCTTCTTCACCTTTGAACAGCTCCGATGGCTTCTTCTGGTGGAAAGTCGGATTTATGCTTTGCTGTGAATTTCGTCTTCTGATTTCATCTATGCCATGAAAGTGCTTTTGGAGGAATTTTTATGCTCTGATCTGGTTGCTCCTCAATCTTTTGTGTAATGATGCTTTCCATGGCTTCGCTTCTTGTTTGGTACGGGTTGCTTTGGATTGTGTTGGTTGATGTTGGTGAGAGCTCACTTCTCTTGGTGGTGTCCTGTCTGCTCTCTATGAACAAAATGGTATACTAAATAAACGAAACATTAAAATTTTAGTCTTTTAGATTTTAAATCTCCAGGAATTTTAGCAGCATTTTGGCAATGCCCAAAATTCCTGGAATCCAATCTGAGTTTTTTTTTTTTTTTTTTTTTTTTTTGGTTTTGGGCATCCATATATCTAGAAATTACAGGGGTATAATCCTAATTAAATTTAAAACTCTAAATAACCCAAACACTTCCTAACCACCTCACGTGCTTTCCCCACCCTTATATCCCAACAATCACGTGGTTTCAAATGGATTTTTAATAAAATTGCACTATAATTTTGTAAGAGTCAAGTCCTCTATTAGTCCTCTAACATGTCATATTTGTTCAAATTGCTCCATCAATTTGTCGTAGAATTTTGGTCCACCTACTAACATCGATTCTAACTCTCATCAACAATTTAGTTGCTCTTGCTTCATCACCAACAACAACCCCTCCACTTTGACCCTCCGTGGTCGTCAACATTGGCTTCATCAGTTTGAGACTGATATTGGAGCAGCTAGCAGCATTAGCAACAACAATGATGAAGGATTGAAGTAAAAGGACATAGTGGTCGATGATGGAGGAGGTGCCACTGTAGTTGGAGAGGCGAAGTGTGGAAAGAATTTGGACAGGCCATTAGCAGAAAGACTCAATTTGGTTGTGAATTAAGATCAAAGGTCACATTTGTCCAAAATTAAAGGTCAATGATCAATTTGAACAAATTCAATAAGTTAAGTAACCAATGGATGACAATCCTTTTTGAAATATTTATACTATCTACACTAAACCTAAAAAATAAAGACTTGAAAAGAGACGTATCAAAACTATTGGGTTTGGTTTATATAAAATTTAGTTTAATTAAATAAAAACTGAGAAATTTGGTTTAATTTTTTATTCAAATGGTCAAAAAATTGCAAAAACCAAGTAAAATCGAACCAAATTGAATAAGATGTAAGTTAACTTTCTCCATTATATAAGTGCTCCCTATCTAAAAGGGGTATTATTTGACGGGATCGTGAATTTGGAAACAGAGTTAGGCTAGTAAGAGGCTGAAATTCCGTTATTGACTGTCATGCAATCAGACTTGATATTGAGGATTTAACCGAAGAATTCCTCTATGAAGTTCGAAATACGAACAATGAAACAAAAACTAGATGTAGATAGAAGCAGAGACAAGTAGCACAGAGGCATCAAGAAAACTGAAACAGAGCAGCAGGTGCAAAGTACAGAACTGGGAGAAATGAAGACAGAAGTTTAGCCCACCTGACAGTGGCTTCGGTGGCGGATTTTGAATTAGCGAAATTGATTGGGCTTCTGACCCGAACAGTTATATGGGCTGATCTGAATTGCTTTGTGGTTTGGGTTTGGATTGGGTGGTCTCGTTTGGGATTTGTGTTGTGTGGATAATCGGTGTAATCCGTTGATAATATTAATACACAAGATGGAAGAGAAATTTAATTTCTCTTATCTAATGATTAGATAGGACCAGCTCTAGAATAAAACAAGTAAACCGTTTGCTTGAGGACAAAAATTTTAATAAAACAACGGAAAATTTTAAGAGTTGATCATTTTATAAAAAAAATATATATATTTTTATTTTTAAAATTAAAATTTTAAAAATATTATTCTTTTTAGTTATATTTTAAGAATATATATTTTAAAAAGTAAAACATATATTTACAGGAGAAGAACTAACTTTATTCTATTAAAAAAATATATTTTTTCTCTCCCACGTTCTTTTGTACAAGTACAATTATATATGTATATATATATATTTATATATGTATATGTGTATTTATATGTATGTATGTATAAATACACACAAATATATATGATACACACATATTTTTTAATCATTCATATCTTAATATTTTTATTTAATTCTTGTATTGATTTTTTAATTTATTCTCTTATTCATATTAATATCCAATATACCATAGTTTCAAAAATAGATCTGAAAAGCATATTCAACTTATGTTAAAAAAACAATGTTTCAATTGCTTTTGAAACATCATGCTCCAAAAGTATACTTCAATTTTAAAAATATATGCTTTTAAGATCATAAAAGAATATCATACCTCAAAGGTATGTTTTAATTTTCAAAATATGTATTTGAGATCGTAAAAAAACAGTCCCTTAGATTCTATATTATTTTATTATTATAAATTTAAATCATTATAATTAAAAACTCATAACAGCTAACGCTCCATAACTTTTATATTATCCATATTAATTAGTCAAGTAATAAAAAGAGGAAAATATCGGATTGTGTTTTTCAAATGAACAAGTTTGAAATGTAATTGAATTAGGTAATTGATAAGTCCTAATTAATTGTATTTTTTATATAATCTTTATTTATACTTATCATTTAATTTAAAGAGTTATTGATTTAATTACATAAATTTGATATTAATATAGTGTAGATATTCTCTTTTTATAAATTTTGAAATTTTAGATATATATTGATTTATTTTGAATTATTTTGTAGAATTATTGAAGGATATTAAATTTGGTTTAAAAGGAAAGACTTTTGAAAATTTTAAAGAAAGTGAAGGGTAAAATAGGAAAATTACTAAAAAGATTTGGTCAAATTAAAAAGGATTGACCTAAATTTGAACAAAAATAATTTTAAGGAAAAGATGAGATTCCCATCAACATGGCCCTGGAGAGAGAAAGGGGGATTGAAGTTCTTTAAAGGAGACCCACCACTAAAGCATTGAGAAGAAGAGACTTGGATAAGAACTTTGGCTTGCTCTTTGAAGATTGAAGATCAAAGAGAACACTCAAAAATTTGCTAAATTTTTCTGTTTATTCTTTTATTATTTTATTTATTTCGAAAATTTTAGGAAGATCTTCTTTAATATAATTTGGTTTTTGTTTCTTGTAAATATGAACTAATTTCTATTTTCTAGGATTATAATATAACTTAGCATATAAATTGGTATTTTAATTTTAATTATACAATGATTTCATGTTTAGACTATTTAGATAACTTTGTTCTTAATACTTTCAATTATTTGACTAACAGTTAAATGGATTTAGAAAATTGATTTCTTGATAATTAGATATTCAATTTAATCCTTGAGTTGAATAGTCTAGGTTTGATTTATTTACATGAATAAATAAATTAATTCATGTGTGGGATAAAAACATACCTATTAACCCTAGGTAACCAAGATTAACATATGTTATTAATGAATCTAATTAAATTTGATTTTTATAAAAATATAGTTAATCAATTTTAATTAGGTGCATTTATTTTGAAAGAAAAATATAAATAATTTAGCTCTGCATGTTAATAATTTGACATGAACGAAATTAGGATAATTTAATTTGAAATCTAATTGAATGCTAAGGTAAGTTGAAATCCTAGATTTTATCCATTTTGATTTTCATCTCTCATACCATAAGTGAAGTTCTTATTATTTAATTTAATTCAGTTTTGTGATTTAATTTTTCATTCTCAATTTTGAATTAGTTGGATAGAATTAGATGGTAATAATTTTAGTACTTAAAAAATTAGGGTTAAGTCCTATTTTTCTTATTACTATATTACTTCAAAGGATGTACACTTGCATGCCAATTTTGGACAACAGTAATAATGAAATAAAAGAAGAAGAATTTAACAAAAAGTTTGATATTGAATTCTCAAGAGGACTAAGTTCTGTATGAATTAAATTATTACATTCCTAAAAATATCTACCGTTCAAGTTAATGGAATAATATTGATACAAATTTGAGAGACTTACTAATAAACATAGGGCTTATCAAAGTTGTTGATATGGATTTTTCAAAAAATCAATTCTCAAGTCATTTTCTATCTGCAAAATATATTAAAAATTGGACAAATTGGGAGTAGCATAAAAAAAGTTGGTCAGTCTATTCTAAAGACTTGAATAAGTATTTTGCTTTTATTGCAAGTCGTTTAATGCTAATTCTAGTCCTAATAAACTAGCTAATAAAAAGGTAGTTGAGATCGAAGAAATCTTAGTCATAAACTTAAAAACCATAAAACAAACAATGAACATGTCGCTAATATGAGTTTGAGGGAGAGAGAAGTTTTTCAAAACTAAAATTTGTGAAGTCTTACCTGGATTAGAAATATCTCAACAAAAATTAAATGTATTAGCTATTTCTTTTCATTCTACTCCAATCACTACAAAAAAAATGTATATATTATGGCAGTTATATTGCGGCATTTATCACTAACCGCCATAATTTTTGGTGTATAACAATGGTTATTATATTAGTTTATATAACCACTGTTATATACAATGTAAATGATGGTGGTTGTTGAATAAAATGGTGGTTCAACCGTCCTTTTTTCAAATAGTTTTAAGTATTATAAAAATTAATATTTGAGTGCTTATTAGTTCTAGACTTTCTTAATAGAATTAATTCTAGACTTTCTTAAATAAATCCTTAAGAAATTTGAGTGCTTATTAGTACATGATTTTTAACATCTTTTACTTCCTCTTATAGTTATTAAATCTATTCCCTATCTTTACTTATTAATTACCACATGCGTGACTTAGAATTTTGTAAGAGCTGCAAAATTGTTAGTAATCAATCATTTTCAATGTATGTCATAAGAAGCACATGCAAGACCAAAATTTTATGTGAAGATCGTTGTAAAACTTTTGACTACGTGTCATCCTTTTGGACAAGTTAGAACATTTCACGACCTAACATTGGCTGATAGCCTTAGCGATTCACTATTCTTTAAATTATATTTT